TATATTTATATATTTTTATAAATAAATACATTCAACACATAAAATATATTACAATATAAAACTAATAGTATATATTACATATAAAAGTAATATTACATATTGTCTATACATTTTATTTACTTTNGACATATTGTCACACAATTTACTTCACGCAATAATAGAATTTATAAACTTTTCTAAACCATATTAATTATAGTTTGTACTTCAAATCTGAATAATTTTTACATATAAGCAGGCATGTTCTATTCTATATGATTACCACGTTGAATGCTACGGGAGTCACCGGTGACCACCGTGACAATAAACGTGTTAAACATGATTACACATCGTAATTTATTTGTTGTAGGTAATATTTCAAGATCATATGTATCGTATAACAGAAAATTTATCGTGGCGCCACAGGCAAACCCTGTAAAACTAGCGTAGCATTCAACGTGTTAATGTACACTTCTATGAACAATTGTCACGTTTATATTTATATTCCTGTACGTATTGCTGTCCATAGTTATCGTCAGTTTCACCGATGAAATATCCAGGAGAGCGACTTTCCACNGCAACGACATACTACACAACAGGGCGAAGCAAAGCACTCGCTAACGATCCGCCGCATCTTCTTCAGTAATATATTCTTTTGCGGAATTTTTATAATCTTTTATGTATAGAGAAAATATGCCTCTTAGCGGANATCAATTAAAAGCTTTAATTGCTTGAAAGTAGCTTCTTGTCATCTGTAAAAGTTCGACAAATCAAACTGTCAAGTATGTTGTGGTGTGCAGACAATGACGTAAATACAATATTAAGTGTATGAAATGTAATCATATGTGTTTGTTCCAAAAAAGACAAAGATAGTTTTGGGAATAAATGTTTTTGTAAGACGATTAAGAATAAAAATTCAAAATTAGAGATTTTTTGGGGCTGGTGGAACCTTGAACAAGATGATTTGCTATAAAAAAAAACACTTAAAGTTGATTACTCCAAATGTTTAAGTTTTTAATTTTGACTCATTTTTAGTGAACTTATTGTTCAAACATTCCTTCACGAGTAACGTACAGTTGAATTGTGTATTGCTGCAAAGTTTTATTTAAAAAACACAGTAAATTTACGAAAAATATCTTTTTGATGGGTTATTTGTTACGTTCACCAACAAATTGTTTTGTTATCTATAACATCAAGTACTTCGGATATATGTAGATTGTCTAAAAAGTTTTGAGCCTAACATAAAAACAAGTATTTTTTCGATCACATTCAGTTTTATCTTTAATGATCCTCATAAAACGTGATCTTTAAAGTCTACATAAACTTTTGATTTTTTACACAAATATCTTAAAATTATATTCGGGGGATATACGGGGTCTTCCATACATGAGATGCAAGTATAGCATCCTGTATGATTTTAAGAATCGAAAATTTCAATTCAAAAATTCACGTATAAAAATTTACATGTGAACACATATATAAATACATGCGCACATATATAAATAAGTACGCATGTATATATAAAAATATACATATGTATGTATATATGCATGTATGCATGTATATATACAAGTATATTTCGGCATAACATCCTTCAAAAACAGCTTTTATGATTTTATTCATATTTTCTTAGTTCACAATTATATTATATATATAAAGGTTTTTTAATTGGCGTTACTACTGTTTTATTATTATAATATATATTATGTCTTTTGTACAATATATATAAATTTTGTAGATAAATTTGTAGTAGTTATAGGAAAAGTGGCATGAAAAAGACAGGTTGTGAAAGGGCCATTTTCAATTATTCGGCAAATTTCTGAACGAATCTTACATAAGTTTTAATTTTTTATATAGCAACACTAGACGTGTGTCATCCACAAACATTTGACAGATTATTGAAAATAAATAGCTCCGGTGCATCGTAGTAAAGATTTTGTCATTGAAAAGTAAAGTTTTGGGTTTTATTTCTTCGTTTTTTAACATTTTTGTGTACAGAAATAATATAAAAATTATTATATCACAATTTTTTATATGTATTTAGTCTCCTAAATATGTAAATATTTCTCATTCATAGCGTTAATTTGATAGTGTATTTTGAGATTATAATTTGTAAAAGGAACAGTATTGAAAGAGCCGGCTACCAAACAATCAAAAAATCATCTTAATAAAGCATCTAGCTCTGACAGTGAATGTAACGATAATTTGTCTTCAGATTCTGATAAAATATTATCAAAAATAAAGAAATAAAAAAACTAGAAAAAAAAAAATAATAATTGTATTATGTGCACTAATCGTTATAAAAAGAGTAAGCAAATATGGTTTCAGTGTAAACTTTATTCTGAGGGAATATATAGAAAATGTGGGATAAAAAAGATGCTAAATTATTTTTGTCAAAATTGCTACTAAAGATACCTAAGAAATTAAGTTTTTTTTTCACTTCTAAGTTTAAAAGTTGTTATGAAAGTTTGAGTAATATAGTAAACGTTACTTAGATTTAAGTAAAAAATATAAATTTACGTTGATGGTTTTGATAATTTTAAACAGAGTGTTATGAAACTAATTTTAGCATTTTGGGTAACAATTGTTTGTTAACAATTATATTAATGTTTTGTTAACAATTGTATTAATGTGTATTAATAGTTTGTTTATTATTTTCTTTATAAACAGTTAAAGATTCTTGTTAAGAAGTTGTCTCTTTTATAACATTCGATGGCTCTTTCAATACCATTATGTTATGAAAGAGCCAAATTTTCTTTTTTTTAAGTGAAAATATGTTTATTAAGCTTGTTAGATTTTGTATTTTTGGTTATTAACTACCACAAAGGAATAAATAACCTACACATTGAAACAACAAACGTTATGTTTGATTACTTTTTAAATAGTTTTTTTGGCTTCATACTAAAACTGGCTCTTTCATGCCACTCTTTCCTTATGTATTACTTCTTTTGTAAAAGAAACTTTGTGGATAGTTTACAATACAAAGAAAAATAATTTTTTATACCATTAAATCACGTTTTAATTTATTATTTAAATACAATACGAGTTTTGTGTATACTTGGCGCCTGTTCTTTTTTTAAAAAAAAATTTTCGAGATATCACACATTTTGTATTTTGTAGTATTAGTGGAAAATTTTTTTCTCTCCGGCATTCAATATATACCACTGCAGCGATAAAACAATACAAGTTCTTCACACAGTTGTTGTTTGGCTGGTAACCGGAAAGTTTTATAGGAATAACTTTTGTTACAAAGTTCAAATAATTTGCGTTCATTATTTATACGACTGCAAAGTATAACAAAACTAGCGGCAGTACGGATCTGTCTTTCAATTCATAAATACTTCCTATCGACTGTTAGATACTTAGAAAATTATTTGTATATTGTGAACAGAAAACAACATAATGAGTGTTAGCAGTGTTTATGATTATCTTATGATTGACTTAGCAGGTAAATATTTCTCATTAATTGCGTCAATTTGTGTTTTTTTATATACATAGTGCTCTCTAAATTTTTAATGTGCATATAAATGCTGATGCTTTTACTTTTGACACGTACTATGTAAAAAACCTCTTTAAGTTATATATTCTCAGGAAGTTGTAGTTATTGTTTGTGGGGAATTAAAAAAGTTATTAAAAATAGTCAGTGCTCAATGTCTTGATAAAAAATAAAATATGTAAGTGTGGGTACATAAGTTTTTAGTCGCTCAAATCAATCAATGTAACTATTCGCTACAAAAACAATAAACCCTCAGTTTGAAATAATTTTTGACGGTATTTAACTATTGTTAGTGTGTTAGAAACAACGAGTCACGCAATGCTTTTCTAACAAAACTTTTTGTACTACACATTTTTATTAAGGAAGAATCGTGTTTGTATATTACCAGAAAATGTGTGATATCTTAAAAAACTTACTTTTTCAAAAAAAGATACGAACATGCGCCTAGTACACACACAACACGCATTGTAGTTAAATAAAAACTCTTAATTCAAACTGTGTTTTATTTATACAATTGAGACTAATATGAAAGTGACTAGTTTTGACGTTTCTGAAATATTGCTTCGTGAAAATCTTTTCTCTTCTCAAATATCTGAATTTTGCGTATTTAAAGACACAATGTGCTCACACGTTCGAACGTGACTGCGTTGCGCGTGAACTTGGCGCGAGGCACTGCCGTGTCTTTTGATATTTATTAAATTATTATTTGTTTAGTATACAATTTAATGTATATATGTATATCAAAATGTTTAATCTTTACGAGTTAAATGCTCATTGAGACATTCGTACTATAACTTACTGTTTACGAGCTACTTGCTGGGTGTTCGTGTAATTATATAAATATAGTTTAAAAAGTTTTACTGGCCGAGATGTTTTTTTAGAAATGAAGATTTTACTTTCCAAAGGAAGATGCAGTGAATATTTCACATATTCGTGATGCAAATATTATTTAAATTTTCGAATTTAATACTTTACTTGGAATGTTGATGTGTATTAAATTATAGGATTTTGAGAAAGTTTAAAACTTAATTATAATCTTACAAACACCCAAAATGTAAATAAGAAGTGTAATTCTTAGTTTGTTTAATAAATGTTGCATAAAAACATTTGTTTTAAATATTGTTGCAACTATAATGCAATTTTATTTCTAGATCCGTTCACACGTAATTGGACGTTAGTAGAAACGCCATTTCCAGTAATAATTATAACCTTTGCTTACTTGTATTTTGTACTTTACGCCGGACCAAGGTACATGAAGAATCGACAATCATTTAGTTTGAGAATCTTTATATTATTTTATAACGTATTTCAAATTCTTGCTAATGCGTGGCTGGTGCACAGTTACGTATCTGCCGGCTGGTTTACTAAATATAGCATAAAATGTAGTAATAATAACGATCTGACGAGTACAAATGGTTTAAAGGTATGTTTTTATGTTAAGTATTGATAAAATTATATTGCTGAACTACAAAACGCGGCGCGTAACACATATTTGTCTGTAAAAACAATGTACTTACTACATTTCCTTTTCACATTTTAAACATGTAATAATTAATATTTTTCAAATTTGTGCATTTCAGCTAATAATTATTACATGGTGGTTATTCATATTAAAACTAATTGATTATATCGAAACGTGTATATTTGTTTTACGGAAAAAACAAAATCAAGTGTCTTCTTTGCATGTATATCATCATGTGTCTACTGTTTTTTTTGGATGGTATTTCCTCAAATATATAGCGGACCCCAGAATAACATTTGCGTGTGTACTCAATTGTTTTATACATGTTATCATGTATACATATTACTTCATTGTAGCGTGGAGCACAACTATGCAACAAAAAGTATCTGTTTTTAAACCATATATTACGAAATTACAAATGGTAAGTTCTACATTATATATAAGTTTGTAAAGTATGTGTATATTACGCATGTATCATATAAAACAAAGTTCGTACATTATATTTTACAATTGAACTTCATACATCATAATATTGTTACGAACTGTTCACTTAATTAGACGAATTTGTAATTTAATGATTTTTAACTTTTTATGGTAAAAGTATACACAACAACAATATATTTTGGAATTATAATTTTTAGATACTATAAAGTATTTGTATAATATATCATTATAAATGCGAGATTATTAATATAGTTTTTATTCACAACATTATAGACGCAGTTTGTTGCGCTGATATGCTATGGACTACAGGCTTTTCTAGATCCAGAATGCAAAGGATCACAACGAGCAAAAGAACTTGTATTCGTATTTCTTTTGAACTTGCTACTATTTCTATACTTATTTTATGACTTTTATAAAAAGTCATATGGCACAAAACAGAAACAGGAAATTGCAAAACACGAATAATAAAATTTATGTATAATATGTATAATTATAGTCACAGACCAATCACGTGAATCTTTATTATTTGTTATCTGATTTTGTATTTCGGGTTTGTTTTTAGTATTAAATTTGAATTTTATTTTATTCCCTATTTTCAGTTTTTGTTTGTTATAATTAGTTTTTTTTTGTTTTTTTGTGAGTATCATTGATCTTGTGATATTTTCTGTGATATATTTTGGTTTTTTAATAGTTTGTGAAGGTGCTCTAAGAGATATCCAGAGCGTGTAAGAAATATTTTATTCATAGAAGAAAAGCAATAAAGTATATGGAATCCTTTTATATATTGTCGATTTCTTTATATCTTCCGATAACTGTCCTCTACGTAAAGATATACAAACAAATATATACATCAATTTTTAGATGAAGATATCGAGAACTTAGCTACAAGTGGAAAATTTAAGTCTTAGTCGTACGTAATAGAATACAACAAATTAGTTGCCTAGCCAAGAATTCTACATCCGTCAAATAAATGTTTTGCTAGGCGATATATTGGTTTTTCTAGAATATCACACGATCTTATTGGTACTTACCCGATTCCGAATTTGAATTCGACAAATAACGACGGCAAACGACGATCTCTAAACATTTGTATATTTCTTCATCCTGTTTAACCGGCAATTGACACAACCTTGACAATCCTTCCGACGTTGATCACATGCACGAAAGCATAAAATTAAACATTCATTGTCAATTTTTGTAGAACTGTTTTCGACAGCGTTTGTACACAATGATTTACTTTGTTTGTTACAACATATCCGATTTAATCAAACGACACGACAATGACAACTGTAAAAAACGGCACGAGAGCAACCTTTCGACGTCTACATGGTACGCCGTTCCATAGGAAAGTGCCGCGTCTCAATCAATCGGCGGAAAATTGGTTGTTGTTGTCTTTTCGTGAATACTCCAGAGTATTCTTAATCCATGTGATTTCAGGAGTACCACGCAGAGATGCCAGTTCGCGGACTCTTGCAGCATGCAACAGCAGGTGAAAAAACAAAGAAGAGAATTGTAATATATGAAGAGAGAGAAAGAGATAGAGAGAGAGAGAGAGAGAGAGAGAGAGAGAGAGAGAAAGAGAGAACCAAGAGGCACGGCAGTGGTTTGCGTTATTCGCGCCGGCAACACCTCCGATATAACTTTTTTTAATAAAGTGTTTCGAATCGTGGCACGACATAACTACAAATTATAAACTTTAAATTTATAATAAATTTATGAAAAAAGATTAATTCAGAAAACGGATAAAACAATTTTTTGCGCCGACAACACCTCCGATATAAGATGTTTTAATCAATTGTTCCGAACTTTTGGCACGAAATAACTACAAACTGTACGGAAAGGTGTGGCAAGACGAAGAGCAAGACAAGACGTAGTCTCTGTATTATATAATTGAAACGCACTAATCACAATCGAGCATATACTTTAGATGAGTCGCCATTGTCGCGATTGTCGCTAACAGTGATAAAGAAGCCAACGCGATATGTGGCTGAGTGATAAAGTTACACACAATTGATCATTTTTGACAAATTTCTTGTTATTTTTAAAGAGTCTTTCATCTGTGACAGTGGTATAAAATTATTTAAGTTCTTTTGTCCATACGTGTGCTTCTAAGACAAGTTAGCAAGCTAAAAGATAAGAATAATATTTTATATTTTTGTAAACAGTATGTAAGAAATTTGTTGATATAATTTTAGCGAGACAAAAAGAAGGAAGATGGGGTAACGAGCATTTTTTTATTATCCCATCTTGCCCCACATAGACGTATAAATAAAAATCTAAAGACCATGACACATAAAAGTACTTAAGACCGTAA